AAGCCAATATAGGGCGAATGTATGTGACGTCTCACAGTTTTTGGGAAGGAATAGGAGAGCAGTAGGTCAATACGGCTTGACAAAGCAGTAAGGTTATAGAATGGGGAAATGTGGGAGATTACAGCACGCAAAAGCTTTCTGTCAGTAATGATCGAGTACCATATATTTGAGATTCATTTAACAGCAAGATTCATGTGTACGTAATGAGAACCTGCAAGGTATGAATATGGTTAACTGTGGAGTACAGGAAGGGAAAGACATTAGGTAATTAACCACGCGTGATTAGGGGATTATCTGAGGAAATTAACTATTGGCACTAAAGCTCTAGTGGTACGGATATTTAATAGGACTAGATTCCCGCGAGTGAAATTATGTCCAACAGGGTTACAAAATGCGCCGTATATTAAAATAACGGAAAGCGTATATTTTAAAATCAGAGGTTATGTATACGTACATATTGCTGTTTATTGAACAATCGATCGATTATGCCGCCTCCTTCTGTAGATGAGTTCAACAGTTTAATGATTGGCCAGTAGGTAGGAGTGGAAAGAAAATCGGCATATGAAAAGCTATTAAATTTTGTAGATACACCGCCTGATGGACTTTTGGATATGTATTACGTTAAACACTACTTGGTTTTAATTTCACGAGGTATAGTGAAACGAATACTCAGCTTAGGTGACCTCTTTTTTAATTCTGCCGCCTCCGTGCCGATATGTTCCCGTGCCAATCTTCTCTGGGCGTTGGTGGAGAAAAGAAAAGTATTTGAGCTACTGGAGTGAAAATGCTCCAGTGCGGAACAAAAGTGCAAAGCCTGCCTTCTCACCTGCACCGAGTCAGCATGTTTGCTCGACTGCGGGTGTTTCATAAAGAGATCGTTTATCGCAATGATGAAGACCAAGGGCGTGTAGAGCAAGACCAGACTTGCAAAGACAGTGTGGAAGATAATCTGGAGCCATTGAAGGCAAAATACTCTAATTCTAAAAGGAATGAAAGAACAAAGCGAGGTCACTCACCTTCACTGTAGCGGCATTTTTGCTGAGCTGCGGGTAATGTTTGAGAAGATCTACTACCCAATTGGTGAAGGACAAGAGAATAAAGAGGAAAACTACGATTGGAAGACTGAATGAAAGGTATCGAAGCTACCGAAAGCAAACTCCCACAGCCAGGAATGGAAGTGGGACTATCTGACTTTAACCATGGCGGCCTGCTTGCTGGCCTGGAGGAGTTACTTGGGCAAATCATCTACTGAAATGATGAAGACCATGGGAGTTAAGAGCAAGACCGAAATTTCAAAGACAATAAGAATGATGGTGGAATATAAAGGAGATAATGGAGCTATTGAAGACCAAATGATCCTGTAAGGAACAGAAGCGTGCCCTCTCGCCTTAAACGTGGCGGCATGCTTGTTGGCCTGCAAGTGGAGCTTGAGCAGACGGACAATGCCAATGATGGAAGAAAGGAAAGTTTTCAAGCCATTAAAGACAAAATTCCCCAGCGAGGAATGGGAGTGGCCACTCATCTTGAACTTGGCGGCGTGCTTGCTGGCCTGCGGGTGGGGCTTCAGCAGACGGACAAAGCCAATGATGGAAGAAAGGAAAGTTTTCGAGCTATTAAAGACAAAATGCCCCAGCGAGGAATGGAAGTGTCCACTCACCTTGACCTTGGCGGCGTGCTTGCTGGCCTGCGGGTGGCGCTTGAGCAGCTCCAGCGTGTTGCGGGCGGCGGCCGCCAGCAGCGGCTCGATCTTCTCGCGGCGCTGCGCGGTGTAGACCGTCTCGTGGCCCGCCTGCGCCAGCACCTCGCCGGCCTCCGCCACGCCCGCGCACTTGTAGGCCAGCGACGCCGCGTGGAAGCGCGCCAGCGCCGCCAGCACGGCCGCGCACTGCTCCACGTCCAGCCCGGCCTCCGGGTGCTCCGCCTCGGCGAAGCCAGCCTCGCGCAGGTCCTGCAACGCCACCGAGCTCGTTGGACTAGCTTGTCTTTGGCTGGCCCTAGCCGAATCTCGCTTCGCTAAGGTCGTTGGACTAGCTTCTCTTTGGCTCTCTGTATTACAGGGTGCTCCGCCTCGGCGAAGCCCGCCTCGCGCAGGTCCTGCAACGCCACCGATCTCGTTGGAATAGATTCTCTTTGGCTCTCTGAATTACAGGGTGCTGCGCCTAGCCGACGCTCGCCTCGCTAAGGTCCTGCAACGCCGCCGAGAACGTTCCCTGGCTTCTCTTTGGTCTCTATCTATCCTACGGTACATGCGCTACTAAAAGCTAGAAGACCAGTAGAGGTGGCTCGGGACCAACTGACGTCATACAGTGCCTCTGACCGGAAGGTTTTAGGTTCGAGTCCCGACGGTGATAGGATTTTGGACACTAGTTACGACTTCAGTCGCTGTCGGAGGAGAAATCTAGAGGCCGGCTGCTATGATCGGTTGTTTTCCGGGGTTATTCCGTTCAACATGAGGTGAATGCCGCAGCAGTACTCTAATAACTGGGCCACGAACCCTTACACATACTTACACTAACATGCACTACACTACCACTCACACCGGGAGACCTATCGGGAGCTTAGAGCTTGTCCCGGCTGGGGCGGTGTCCCACTGGTGGGAGATACCTTGTTGGGGAAAACCTCGCAAGCGGACGGGTATTGGCGTCGGATGTCATCATCTAATGGAGGAAGTTCGCTTCCACCTCCCGCGATAAAATATGGACTACACTTGCGGTACGCTTGATCTTAGCAATTCTCTCACCCACAATCATTAAGAAAATGCGCGCAAAAAATTGAAAAAAACTATTTAGCGTCCGGCTATGCTGTATGATAGTTGTCCGTACTTTTGGTACATACCCAGGAGCTCTGAAAAAGCAACCAATGAAGCAGTTTTGATTTCGACAGAAAAATGTAAATATTTGATTGTTATTGCGCATATTTCCATGCTGCGCGTACCGACGGCATTCGCATTCACTGCGTATGATAGCTGTCGTCATGTGACACCATGCCTCGGAGCATTATGCCTCGGCCATTATTTATTTGTTACTCACGTTTTGCGTTATGAAACAGCTACTTTTTATAACATTCTTGTTATGAACGAACTATTCAACTGTGTATTTACTACACAATTATTGTAGTATTCGCGAAGAATGTTTTTGTTAAAAGATTTAATTTATTAGTTTTATACCAGAGTATTTTATTTGTTACTTTTTTGCAGAGTGAGTGCTATGAAAAACCTTTTTTGTGTCGTTTTGTTCTGCTGCATTTTTACTGCTGCAGGCCACTAAGGTTGCCTGCAGTAGTGCCTGCAGCAGCGCCTAGGTTGCTCCAGGGTATACTCTCTCTCATATTTCCATCTCTATCTCTGTAGTAATCTCCACCTTCCCCTTTTTGTTTTCATCTGCCCCTCGATATTTGCATATCTCTCTCTATTTCCATCTGCCCCTCTCTATTGCCAAGTGCCCCTCTATATCGCCGAATGGCCCTTTCTAAAGCGGTCTAGCGATTGAACATGCGTTTCTCTCTATCTCTCAATTCATCGCACTTTCTATCTTTTCCTATCTCAGGGTGTTTCGCTTTCAGATGGCGTAAGAGTATAATGCACATACTTGCTGTACTGTCGTTTTTTCGGGATATCAGAGAATGTTAAGATGGGGGAGAAGATGGAAATAAGGGTATGGGGAATATGGCTATTCCCCATCCTATCTCTAAATATGGAAGTTGATAGGTCATAGAGGCTAAACCAATTTCAGATACGATGGGAGACAGATACGTCCGATTTCGAAAATGATAGATTAATTTCGTAATCAACGTTCTATTTACTGATAGTAATTATGAATTGAAATTTCTTTGTTAGTGATTTACGTCTAGTAATTGTTTCTTTATTATCTACAATGGTTTTCTTTCCTTTTTTCAGGTGAGTATTGGTGTGCGACGCACTTTTCCCTAAGTTTGGGCATACTGGGTGAGTACTTATATCGACGCCCACGGTGGATTGTTGGTTAGCGTGCTCGATTTCCACAGCGCAACTCCGGGTTTGATTCCCGTCCGGGGTAAAATAATAACTGTGCGCCTTCCCTACAAATGTTCCTGAATCTATTGCTCAGCAACGATGAGAAAGCCTACCCTAAGGTTAAGAACACCAGTTTATGTAGTCGGAGGGTGTCTTCCTGCTAACGACACGAACCCATTAACCCTTGGCCGAGAGGCGGACCACCGCTGGACGTCAAAGACCCGTATCAGATTATTGAGCTAAGAACAGGACAGAACTGAAGTACTCTTTTTGAGGTTTGACTGGAAATCTTTAGAGCAGTTTTACACCTCACATAATGCAGTTTCACAAGTGATATTTTCCTCTGATGGATAGGTTAACCATCGTGCACTGCTTTTCGGCAGGCCACGTTTTGACGTAGTCAAAGAGGTTTCGCGTGCCTATCAAATACATACTATGTTTACCGGTTACTTATCAATCAGTACAAAATGTCAAATGTGAAACTTCGTTACATGAACATTTCTACCATATTTTCATTGTCGAAAAGTTATAACTTTCGACTGCCCTCTACATGCTTAAAGGTTTGTAACAATAATTTTTAGACAACTTGTATGTGTTTGAATAATGAACAGATGATGTTTGGCATTTACACTTGTAATAGAGCTTAAAGTATATTCGGAATCCAATAGTGAGCTCCTTTCCGCAAAGGTTCAAAATATGATCATTTCAAAACAACAGGGTTCATAATATTTGTATCAACTTTGATTAAAGTTAAATTTACGAAACTGAAATCCGTGATTCACAATTACCAAATATAATCATAATATAACCATTCTAATAATCCACCGATTTGATAACTACTATTAACTTTAGTCAGACACCTTTGGCAGGTCGAAAAGTGAAATTGAAATGAAAATGATATGTAGAAAATTTTACAAAAATCGGGAACGTTGTATGATAATCGAACAGTAACATCTCACGAAATTATTTTGCAAACGGCTCTTATGAGTGGCGTGGAGTTATCATTTAGAGGTACCTCGAGAATGAGGGCGTCATCGGAGCTGTGAATGCAACGAGGAAAAACGTCGAAGGCCTGTTCAGGCCAAAGAGACGCCATGTTGGGTAGCACATGTTGATACATCCCGATTTCCTTTGCAGTCATCGCCTCGATGTCAAGCACCTGCAAATGAAGCAGACGTCACGTACAAAATTATCTCATTATGATCCAAACATTAGGAAATTTGTTTACCCCAAATCCCGTATATTTGTTTAGTATTTCATGTAAATAATATTATGCCAATAATGTGCGAAATGGGGGTATCGTAATAGAGAAAATATCCTCAAATGTAAGAATGTTAAATAACTATAATTTCCATTGAAATATTTTAATTTTTAATTTTTTTAAATAGGAGCCTTGTTATATTCTTTAATGACAAATGTTTGTTAAAAATGCATGAATTCTGTTTCATCACGTTCGTTCATTGTGGTCGTAAATAAGCACTAACTGAATGTCAAATTATTTCTGCCAGTGAACATGTAAATAAATTTACACCATTCATTAAACCTACGTACACGTAATTACACGTTGACTGGTTTGTGGCAAACCGCAGGTGACTGCAGTGTTTAAAAACAAACCAGACCTGAATGAGCTAAACGAAATGACCGTTGGAATGTTGATGTCCTTGTGCACAATATTCAGTTCTCGAATTGGGAATTTAAGTCAGTTACCTCTCATCATTTTAGGTTGCTACAAATTTTATCAGGATAATAATTTAGCAAAATACTATTTAAATCAATAATTAGTTTTAACAGAAATGTATAAATATTTCACTGTTAATTAATTTCAACGTTTAAATACAAATTTTGAAAAATATTTGTTGTGGCTACGTCTTCTAACATATGATAATTGTGTTTTAAATAGAAAATTGCTGAATACGTCTATAACTGATCAAAATACCGATGCCATAATTTCAATATTTTACCTATATTCTACTCTTTGTTTCATGATTGTACAATTTTCATTCAAAACGAAAATATAATCTCCAAAAAACATCAAACACAACACGTCAATGTTAAAAAACATAGGCTTCAATGAATCCATGTTAAATACATCGATGTTTTGATAATATACTTGGACATTAATGTCGCAGACGAGATTATAGGGATATTACTATAAGAACGCTATGACAGCTACTGTTTGGCCTCTGCTGGCAACATAACTGCAGGTTGCGTTTATGCACTCATTTTGTATCTACTATCGTTTAGTTAGCTGATTTGCAGAGAGCGTCATCACCATATCTTGCAATGCCATCACCCTGCAGGACATTAATTTGTTTATCGACCTGTCAAAGTGGTCCCTTCTTTGAGTAACTCCTCCATAGTACCGTTGCCACTCAGCCACGTCCCTGGGAAGAGCGCCTGGCTAATGGAGACATTACACTAAGAATGGACCGCTTTCTGTCAGCTACTGCTTGGCCCCTGCTGACAACATAATTGCAGGTTATGTCCAGGCACTCATTTTGTCAGTGCCTTTGTACAGTATTAGTTTATTTGTAGAGGGGCTTCGTCTCTATCTGTTGCAATGTCACCGCCCTGCAGGGCATTCACTTGTTCCCCGCATCCCTGTCAAAGAGTAAGCAACCCCATACCTTGGCGACCTCTGGCGAGGGCTTGGGCGTCTTGAAGACGAGGCGCATCTCGCCGCGGTTCTTGAGCGTGGCGCGCACGTACTGCACGAGGGAGGTGCGGCGCGGGTCCTGCGCCGCCTCTGCGTCGCCGCCCTCCGCCAGCAGCCCCCCGCCCGGCCGCCGCTCCTGCACCTCCCACGCCTCCACGCGCTCCTCCGGGTCGTCCTCCTGCGCAACGGCCAGCCTCGTGTCGGCCCGCGCGCTCCCCACTCGGGGCACACGCCGCGCACACTCCTTACACCCTGCACGCACACTCGATGCACACTCCGCCCACACACCATATACCCTGCACGCACACGCGATGCACACTCCATGCTCTATGCACACTCCGTCCGCACTCGATGCACACTCCACCCACACACCATATACCCTCTACCCACGCTCTATTCACACTCTAAGCACACTCCATGCTCTATGCACACTCCGCCCACACACCTTACACCCTGCACGCTCACACAATACACACTCGGTACACACTCCGAACACTCTCCAAGCACACTCGATGTACACTCCGTACACCCTCCAAGCACACTCGATACATACTCCGTCCACACTCCTCACGCCATCCACCCACACTCAAAGCACACTCGAAGCACACTCCATGCTCTATGCACTCTCCATCCACACTCGATGCACACTCCGCCCACACACCTTACAACCTGCACGCACACGCGATGCACACTCGGTACACACACCTTACACCCTCCACGCACATTCCATGTATACTTCGTCCACACTCCGTACACCCTCCAAGCACACTCGATACATACTCCGTACACACTCCTTTCGCCATCCACCCACACTCAATGCACACTCCAAGCACACTCCATACTCTATGCACACTCCGTCCCCACTCGATGCACGCTCCACCCACACACCATATAACCTTTACCCACGCTTGATGCACATTCCATGCTCTATGAATATTCCGTCCACACTCGATGCGCACTTCACATTTGATCCACATCCCACTCACACTCCACTCTCCATGCACACTCCACACTCCATGCACACTTCAAACTGCATACACACTCCGTCCAATCTCCATGCACACTTCATATTTGATCCACGCTCCACACACTCCATCCCCTCTCCATGCACACTTCAAATTTCACGCACACTTCAAACTCCTTGCACACTTTAAAATTAACATACACTCCACGCATTCGCCGTCCATACTCGATGCACGCTCCACACTCAATGAACACTTCACGCACACTCTACACTCCATCCACACTTCACACTGTGTACTATGTTCCGAACAAAGCTCGTACTTCAACTTGTGCTCTGGAAGGTTAATATAAGGTAGCCGACTGAATGAAAGGTAGGGAACTGAATGAAAAATAGGCGAAAGAACGACAGGTAGGGAATAATTGAAAAGTACGGAATGAATGAATTGTAGGCCAATTAATGACTTGTTAATGTATGAAAGGTATGTGAATGAATAAAAGGTGCAGGGTCAAAGAAAGGTGGATTAATTCATTGTCTGAATGAGTAATGAATGTTCTATCTATCTATTGAATAAATGAATACTAAGTGAATTAATCTGTAAGTTAAGAGGGATTGAATGAATCTTTGACTAATTTATGATTGAATGAATCTTACTAATTAAGTGATGATATCTGACTAAGAGTGCATGAATGAATCTAGTTAACAATGGAGTGAATAGATCTATAAACCAAAGAGTGACGGTGAATAAATCTACAATTAATGAAGGTGCTGAGAGATGTAATCTATGAATCCAACTGGAAATTGAAATACAGTGCGTAAATAGAGTCTATGAGCTAATGGCATCTCTGAAATGAGTCTGACTAATGGAAGTCTATGAGCAATGACCTTAGAGTTCTATGAGCAGATGAGTCTGAATGCCTCACTGATAGTCACATGGGAATGAGTCTATGAGCGCATGATCAGAGAAAGTCCTTAGCATGATTGAAGAGACTGACATGGATGTGCGAGGCAACGCACAGCTTACTGACGAGAAGGCGCCTCGAGAGCTGCGGGCGAGGCGCCCGCGTGCGTGCGGCGGCCTATCCCTCGCCGGCGTGCCCCCGGCCCCGGGCGCCCGAAGAGCGTGGCGCGCCGCGATCGTGCAGCTGGCTGAGCGGCGGCAGCTCCTCCGCCGACGGGCCTAAGCAGCGCGGCTGCGGTCTGTCCCCGCGTACGCGCTTTCCACGCAGGACTTGAGGTGTTCACCAGCCCGAGCTGCGCAGCTCGACGGCTCCACGCCTCCCGCACCGATCCGAATCGTTTCTCGCCCTTCCGACATGCTGCGCTACTACACGAGGACGATAACGCTATTCATTCAGTCAATCAATCATTTCAGTGCTGAATGCCTCCACTCACCCTGGCCCCGACGCTCGCTTTCATCGCTCTACCCAAATGCATGCGAACACATAAAGGAAGATACGTCAGTGCATCGGAGGTATAGAGGAAAGTCTCGTCAGTCAATCATTCATTTTCAGTGCTGACGTCTCCACGTTGCCCCGACCCGACTTTTCTTCCCGCCTGATCATCGCTGCGCCACAAAACAAAAATACGTAGTCACTCAGTCAAATCAATTATTTCAGTGCTGACGCTCACGTCCCCCGACCCCGACCAGTTGCTTTCTTCTGCCCTCCGACATCTTGGCGCACAAAAGGAAATACGTATCATCCATCATTCAGACAAACATCGTGTTCAGTGCTGACGCCTCCATGTGCTTGACAACGATTCACTTTCTCTCCTCCGACATGCTGCGCACAAAAGATGCTACATATGTTCATGCATTCAACTCATTCATTCAGTGCTGACGTCTCCATGCTTTGCCCCCGATGTCACTTTCTTTCCGCCCCCAATAGCTGCGCACACAAGAAATACGTCAGTCAATCGGAGGTCTAAAAGAGAACTACTTAAAAAAATTAAAAGTAAAACAGT